AAAAAAGAAGGAAAATTCATTAAGAATATAGCCTATTTATCAGAAGAACCTTAATTTTAATCTTTTGCCTGCTTTGAGCATCTAAGCTGCTAATGGCAAAGTTATCTCTCTTGGTAATCCCATCTACAAATGGGGATTACTAATGTTAAACTGCCTTTCAAGTTTGTTATTCATCATATGTAAGATGCTCTGAACACTGAAGAAAGATTTGAGGAAAACTTTCCCACCCAGTTTATTTAACCTTCTCTTTAGTTCTAGGTTGCTTTTCTCCTTGATTAGTTTCCATCCATTACTTCTTTTCCTGCCCCTTAGACATTGAAACACTGCTATCATGTCACCCTTAGTCCTTCTTTTCATTAAACTAGACATACCCAATTCCTGCAACGGTTCTTCATATGTTTTAGCCTCCAGTCCCCTAATCATCTTTGTTGCTTTTCTCTGCGCTCTTTCTAGAGATTCTCAACATCTTTTTAAGAGTGTGGCGACCAAAATTGGATGCAATATTCCAAGTCTGGTCTTACCAAGCTATTATGAAGTGGTGTTAAAACTTCACGTGATCTTGATTCTATCCCTCTGTTAATGCAGCCTAGGAGTGTGTTGGCTTTTTGGGAGGTTGCAGCACACAGCTGGCTCATTTTTAAGTGACTGTCCACTAGGACAGCAAGATCCCTCTCACAGTTACTGCTATTGAGCCACGTTTCACCTAATATGTCCCTGTACATTTGGTTTTTCATAAGCCTTCCCTTATGCGGTGACTTCTAAACATGTTTAGAACTACAGTCCTCAGAATTGTCAGGCTGCCTTTGACCATGGAATTCATTCATTCATTCATCCATCCATGCATCCATCCATTCATTCATTCATTCATTTTTTTGATAGCTGTCCATCTCAATCCATGACTCTGGATATTTTACAGTTCCAAAATTCTGGAACTCTGGGAACTGAAATCTCAAGACACCCAAAGAGCACTCAAGGAGCCCATTTGTAGGACTTCCTCAAATTGTTAACCCTGCGTTCCTTCACTCACAATGTCAGCAAGTTTGGTGTTTACTGACCGGTCCATTGTGACTCAATCAATTTGTTCTTCGGTCCAGGTTTATTTGTTTGGCTGAGCTTAAGACTACAATGCAGTGAAGCAGGACCGTCTGATTCTATTCCCACCAGCGAGCTTTCTACACCCTCACCAAGAGAAGAGACATCCATCTTCCAGATATTAATCAATGCCACAGCCCTGAAAGAACTACACCAGTCCCAGCTATATAGGCTTCGCTAGGCTGGCTGCATTCAGTTCCCAATCCATCTTGGTCAGCCTCTCTGCAGTTCGGCAATTCATCTTCCTGAAAGGCATCAGGGCCTTCTTTGGCTAGGGCCACTTATCAAAATAAAAGCGACAGGGGACACGGGCCATGATCATCTAGCTAATACTAACTCAAGAGGGTCTGACTTAATGATGAGGAGATCCTCCACCCCGTGTGGACCTTTGCGCAAAACCCTTTAGACCAGAAAAGGACAATTTTCTTCAGCCACAAAACATGGAACTAGGATTCCAACTGTTAAAAGTTTTAAAAAACTCCTAAAGGGTAAGAGAGCGCTCAACAAAATGAAAATATCCATTTTGTCCCTGAAGAGCCAGTTTGGTATAGTTGATTAAGGCACCAGGCTAGACACCAGGAGTCAGCCACTTGTCTGAAATGGTATAGGGCAGGGGGTCTTCAAACGTGGCCCTTTTATGACTTGTGGACTTCGACTCCCAGAATTCCTCAGCCAGCATGCCTGGCTGAGGAATTCTGGGAGTTGAAGTCCACAAGTCATAAAAGGGCCAAGTCTGAAGACCCCTGCTTTAGGAAGATTTTTTCTTATGGCACAATGCAGGGGTCTTCAAACCTGGCCCTTTTATGACTTGTGGACTTCAACTCCCAGAATTCCTCAGCTAGCCATGCTGGCTAAGGAATTCTGGGAGTTGAAGTCCACAAGTCATAAAAGGAGCACGTTTGAAGACCCCTGGTACAGAGTCTCCTGCTTGAGCAGGGGGCTGGACTAGAAGACCTCTAAGGTCCCTTCCAGCTCTACTCTGATTGAAACCCCTCCCCCCATTGAGTTTGCTTGTCAGAAGCCATCTGGAAAGGTCAAAAATGGTGATCACATGACCTTGGGACAGTGCAAGTGTCATAAATACATGCCAGTTGCCCAGTGGCTACATGTTGATCATTTGACCCTAGGGGTGCTGAGTCATAAGTGTGAAAACTGGCCATAAGTCACTTTTTTCCGCACCGTTGTAACTTTCAACACGCATTAAACAAACAGTTGCAAATAAATTACTCCATGTAATATCAAATCTCTTCCTGAGCCAGTTTTCATTCCAGACTGGTTAGCTATTGCTGCATACAGAGAAGTGAAGACGCAAATACCTGGCTGGTTATCTATTCAGTCAAGGCAGTCCTTACTTGTATAATAAGCCTGAATTACGGCTCTGAGTTGTTGGGTGGTTCGGGAAGCCACGATCTCAATCAACGCCGTCTCATTAGTTCCCACGCCCTGGCAAGAATCACATTAAAAAAAAGATGCTCAATTTTCCATTCAAAGATTGATGTAGACCTAATTGCATCTGGCAATCTGCAGAATCTGCCACAAGATGGTTAGAAATCTCAGAGCAAGATAAATGACCCAGAGAGACCGTTTCAACGTGAAAACATTCATTCTGGCAGAAGACAAATGGGCTGACCTCATCTCAGGCAAATGTTTGTAAACAGATTTCAGCACGATGGATCTCCACGAGTTACAGGTTTTATTGAAATCGTTGAAACTCAGCAGGGCTAACACTGCGTGGGTGATTAATGGAAGCACCCAACAAATCGTTGGTTAATGGTGTGAACTAACAAGAGTAGGGGTAGATGAAAGAGCACTGATCAACTGATTCATCAAAGCATAACTGCTTGCTAAAAGTAAGGATTTAAAAATGGAGCTGCAGGAATGGTGGGGAACACTGATGGCCCTGCAGGGGGACAGCTATGTCACCCATTGTGGACAGTGTGTATGTGTATCTTAGGGCTGAACCAATTTATAATGCCTTGGTAAGACCACACACGGAATACTGCATCCATTTTTGGTTGCCACAATTTACAAAAGATGTTAAGACTCTAGAACAGTGGTTCTCAACCTTTTTAATGCCGCGACCCCCAATCGGTCGTAAGTCGAGGACTAAACCGGTGGTAAGTCGAGGACTAAACCGGTCATAAGTCAAGGACTAAACCGGTCGTAAGTTGAGGACTACCCAACCGGTCGTAAGTCGAGCACTTTCCCTGCCCGGGAGCGCCACGCATGTGTGGTTCCGCCCCCTGCGCCGGCCGAGGCGTAGCTGGCAAGTGGCAGAGACAGAGCAGGCCGACCACCAGCTGGCCCAGCTCAAGGGAGGTAAGGCACCCACCGGAAAAGGGAAAAAAAAATGGCGGACAGCCTTGCTTGGCGACCCCTGTGAAATGGTCAATCGACCCCAAATGGGGTCGCAACCCATAGGTTGAGAACCACTGCTCTAGAACAGGGGTCTTCAAACTCGGCCCTTTTATGACTCGTGGACTTCAACTCCCAGAATTCCTCAGCCAGCGTGCCGGCTGAGGAATTCTGGAAGTTGAAGTCCACGAGTCATAAAAGGGCCAAGTTTGAAGACCCCTGCTCCAGAAGGAATGCAGAGAAGAGCGACAAAGATGATCAGGGGACTGGAGGCTAAAACATATAAGGAACGGTTGCTGGAATTGGGTATGTCTAGTTTAATGAAGAGAAGGACGAGGGGTGACATGATAGCAGTGTTCCAATATTTGAAAGGCTGCCAAAAAGAAGAGGGGGTCAACTTATTTTCCAAAGCACCAGAAGGCAGGACAAGAAGCAATGGATGGAAACTCTGTCATTCTGTTATTGTGAATGCAAAGAAGCTCCATAATGGGAAGAGGAAATCATAGAGTTGAGAGTTACAGCTCTGGCTGATGCTTTCTTTACAATATTTAGTCCTTGACTTATGACCACAACTGAGCCCAAAATTTCCATCGCTAAGATAGTCGTTAAGTGAATTCCACCCCATTCCACGACCTTTCTTGTCACAGTTGTTAAGTGAATCACTGCAGTTAAGTTAATAACAAGGTTTTAAGTGAATCTGCCTTTCCCCATTGACTTTGCTTGTCAGAAGGTTGCAAAAGGGGATCACATGACCCCGGGACGCTGCAACCGTCATAAGTACATGCCAGTTGCCAAGCGTCTGAATTTTGATCACGTGACCATGGGGATGCAGCGGTGGCCATAAGTGTGAAAAACAGTCATAAGTCACTTTTTTCTGTGCCTTTGTAACTTCAAATGGTCAACAAATTAATGATTGTAAGTCAAGGACTAACTGTACTGAAGAGACTAGCAACTCCAGTTAGCAAAGCTCTAGCTGTGCAAAGGTCTGCTTTCTCTTCTTCTAGAAAATTTTATTTTGATTTCTTCCCCCACAAGGCAATTATATTAAAGTGCATTCACATAAAAGGAGAGTGCGACAGAAAATGTGACATTTTCCCAAAACAGATTCAAACAAAGCATGTGTCAAAGTGAGGTAGGTTAAGGCAGGGGTCTTCAAACTTGGCCCTTTTATGACTCGTGGACTTCAACTCCCAGAATTCCTCAGCCAAGCGTGCCTAGCTGAGGAATTCTGGGAGTTGAAGTCCATGAGTCATAAAAGGGCCAAGTTTGAAGACCCCTGGGTTAAGGATTAGCATTAAGAGGAGGACCATCCTTTTCAACTTACTCTGACGGTTCGGTTAATTTGTTCCGCGTCAAATTCTGCAGGGGGAGTTACCAGATAAAGCAAGACAAGCCCAAAATCACCTGAAGTATCTTCCTTCAAAGCATCTTTCAGCTCCTTCAAAAAGAAAAAAACAAAACAGAGCCACGAATAATTCTCGCCGTCAAGAATCCTGGGCAGCTTCAGCAATAATTTCCAATCCAGCTAATCACGACTGGGGATCATAAATATTTTAGCCCACCACATATGGAGGGCATCCATTTAAAGCAGGGGTCTTCAAACTTGGCCCTTTTATGACTTGTGGACTTCAACTCCCAGAATTCCTCAGCCAGGCATGCTGGCTGAGGAATTCTGGGAGTTGAAGTCCACAAGTCATAAAAGGGCCATGTTTGAAGACCCCTGATTTAAAGAATGCCATAAGGGCAGATCTTGGCAGAGCCTCAGTTTTACTGCTTTGAGGAAATGTATCTTGTCAAAACTATTTTCTTTCGTTCTCGGTGAGAAATTGAAAGTCTTGGCTGGCCTGGGTCACCCCAGTTGCTATTACCCTGCAAAAACTTAGCTGGACCGTATCACTTCATATATCAGCCCAGTTTTTGGATGGGATGGGCCAATCTCAAGGATCTGAAGATTCATTTTGACTGGATTTTTCTTCCTTTCGTTCCCATTTTTAGGTAGGAACAGGAAATCCCTGCTATGGGAGAATTCCTCAAATGACTCCTTTAGAAATACACTATTTAATTTGGTTTTTATCCTGCCTTCTGTTACTTTATAAGTAACTCAAGGTAGCGAACATACATAATACTCTTTCTTCCTTCTCTTTTTCCCACAACAACAACTCTGTGAAGTGAATTGGGTTGAGAGATAGTTACTATCCCAAGATTATCCAGCTGGTTTTCATGCCTAAGGAGGGACTAGAACTCACGGCCACCTGGTAACTGGCCCAAAATCAGCCAGCTACCTTTCATACCTAAGGCGGGACTAGAATTCACCATCATTGGTGATTGGCCCAAAGTCACTCAATCAGCTGTCATGCCTAAGGCGGGACTAGAATTCACCATCATTGATGATTGGCCCAAAGTCACCCAGCCAGCTTTCATGCCTAAGGCAGGACTAGAACTCACAGCGCCTGGTTTCCAGGCCAGCATCTTAACCACTGCACCAAGCTGGCTCTTCCATATTACCGTAATTGCCATGAAGAATCAGTGGCTGGAGATAACGGAGCCCCTCACCCTCCTAACCCCCCTCCCCATCACAATATTCCCCAAGGATGCATACCTTTCCAGTGTAAGCTTTGTACTCTGCAGCTATCAGCTGCCGTTGAGCATTAGATCTTCCTGTCAGGATCTCAATCACTTTTGTTTCATCTGTGCCTAAAAGCAAAAATTAAGAAGGGAGTCAGCTCAGAAAGAGGAAGAATCTTGAATCTTGGAGTAAAACATGTGAAAACGTTAGCGATAGGCAACCTGTATCCCATTCTCAAAGTTTCTTGACAAGGAAACTTTAGTTTTGTGGACTATTGTGAGGAAAGGTCTTACTCTTAAAAATGGAAGGATGTCATGGAGAGGACTCACATCCTTTGAAGTAACATCACTACCCAAAATTGTTCTACATCAGGGGTCTTCAAACTTGGCCCTTTTATGACTTGTGGACTTCAACTCCCAGAATTCCTCAGCCAGCATGGAGGAACTAAGACCCCTTCATGACTTGTGGACTTCAACTCCCAGAATTCCTCAGCCAGCGTGCCTGGCTGGCTGGGGAATTCTGGGAGTTGAAATCCACAAGTCTTAAAGTTGCCAAGTTTGAAGACCCCTGGTCTAGTCTCAGTTATAACAACTCTGTTGCACCCTGGTGGTGCAGTGGTAGAATGCAGTACTGCAGGCAAGCTCACTGGTCACTCCAGGAGTTCGATCCTGACCAGCTCAAGGTTGACTCAGCCTCCCATCCTTCCGAGGTTGGTAAAATGAGGACCCAGATTGTTGGGGACAATATGCTCACTCTGTAAACCAGTTAGAGTGGGCTGTAAAAGGACACTGGAGTGGTATATAAGTCTAATTGCTATTGCTAACTTCCGTATTCAACATTGCTCTGAATCTAGATATTCCTGAAGAATAAATAATCTGAATATTAATCCGTCTTTGGAGTTAATCTGTCTGTGACAAACCAGAATAAAGCAGATCTCTTGTTTGGATCAGAACAGAACCTGTCTTCCTTTCCCAAGGAGACTTACCCAGTCCTTCCATTGCTTTTTTAAGTGCCTCTGCATCTTTTGAAGCATTGAATCCTGCAAAATCCTGAATTGTTCCTCTAGAACCAACCTAGAAGAAAACAGATGCCGCTCAGTGACATTGGATTCAAGGTCAAGACGTGCACAAAGTAAATAGGATTTACAAGCTGCACTCAAGAACCCGTGTTGCTTGTCCACGGTCATGGGGTCAACCCCAACCTTTCCAGCTCAAAAGATGTTGGCAAATGGCAAGTTGACACAACACAACCTCAATTACAACCTTACGACCACAACTGAGTCCAAAATTTCTGTTGCTAAGGCAGACATTGGTCAAGTACGCTTTGCCCCATTTTACAACCTTTCTTGCCACAGTTGTTAAGTGAATCACTACAGTTGCTAAGTTAGTAACACAATGGTTAAGTGAGTCGGGCTCCCCATTGACTTTGCTTGTCAGGTCACAAAAACGGATCACGTAACCCGGGACACTGCAACCATCATAACTATGAGCCAGTGGCCAAGTGTCTCAATTTTGATCACGTGACCTTGGGGAGGCTGCAACAGTCGTAAGTGTGAAAAATGATCATGTCACTTTTTTCTATGCTGCTGTAACTTTGAGCAGTCACTAAAGAAACTGTTGTAAGTCAGGCAGGAACAACCTGCAGAGTTCATGCTAACTACTTTATTATTTTCTGTCTATAATACAGGAATCTCCCCAGTCCGGTAACCAACTCCCGGGAACAATTAGATAAGGAACTTAGGGGGGGTTGGTCCTAGCCTTTTTGTTGGTTGTGCAGTGACTCCAGACTAGCTCCAAGCTTGATCCCCCCTCCCTGCCCGGCTGGTTGCTTTCCAACAGGTCTAGTTATAAAGGTGTTGGGCTAGGAATGGTGAGATGTAGATTCAACCCGACCCTTAGCCATGGACAGACTTAGATTTGTCCCTCTCTCTCAGACCACAGCAGACAGGCAAGGAAAAGAGAAAATTGTAAACCCTATTTTGAGTGAAGTACTGCTTTTTGAGAATAGGAAACCCAGAATTGAAGTAAGAATGAGAAAATGGTAAATCAGATCTATTCTCTTCTATATATTTTCTTTTTACATCAAGGCGACCTTTATGAAAAGGCCCCAGTGCAATTGAATACATAGAAACATATCACCTTAAAAAAAATAGCAGAATTTATATACTAAGCCCGCAGGGGTAGGCAACCTTGGCTCTTTTATGACTCGTGGACTTCAACTCCCAGAATTCCTGAGTGAGCGTGGCTCAGCTTGGAAACCTCTCCCTTTCCCCTCAGCATGGCTAGCTCAGGAATTCTGGGAGTTGAAGTCCACGAGTCATAAAAGAGCCAAGTTGCCTACCCCAAATGTTACAATATAAAGTCATTTACATTTTAAGGCAGAGTCATCGCAAAGCTGATTCATTCACGTCAAGTAAAATAAGTCTACTAATGAAAGAAAATGCTTAGCTTTTTGTTCATAGCATCTGTTGTTAGCACATAAGAGGATATAAGCAATTCACATAGGTGTGGAGAAAGAAAAAAAAACAGCTGATATGATCTCAGCCTTTCAAGAATGCTGACTTAATTCCTCGATTCAAAAAAAAATTAAAATAAAACCTGCCTGCACAGCACACTCTAAAGAAATCACAAGCCGGAAGCATAAAAGATATAAATATAGTTCTCGACCTACGACCACAACCGAGCCCCAGATTTCTCTCGCTAAATGAGACAGTTGATAAGTGGATCACTGCGGTGGTTAAACTAGAAATTTACAACCAGTCATTAACAATCATTCAAAGTTGCTACAGACATCCCAAAATGGATTTACTATCCCATTTTGAAGATAGGGCCGTGGTAACCCGCTTTACGACCATCATGACTTATGATTGTAAGGACTACATCAGAGGTCTCCAACCTTTTGGGCACCAGGGACAGGTTACGTGGAGAGAGGTTTTTCCGCAGCCCGGAGGGGGCGTGGTTTTGTATCCCGTGGATGGGGCTTTCCTTGTTTGTGCGGACTGTTTGCTGACATGCTGCGGCCTGGTACAGGTCAACGGACCGGGGGTTGGGGACCCCTGGACTACATGAATGAACTCCCCCCCCCCCGGTGCTCTGCACTGCAGTGTGGATTTTGCAGACAAAGACCAAAACAACCAGGGTAACAGCAAACTACAGATCTATGTTTTTATCAGGGAAGGAATTCAGCGGAAGCCTCACTGACGGTAAATCAAGGAAGGCCAGCAATAATTAAGCAATGCAGATTTTCCTCCCAGAAGCCCAGACCCACTCTCAACAAACTGCAATTTCCACATTTCATGGGGTGTTTTTTGTTTTTTCGCAACAGAGCAAAATTGCCTCGGCTTCTCGGTTCCCCTGAGGTCTGTAGTTAGGGATGTGCAGGACAAGCTTTTGGCGTAAGAAATTGCATCCCACTGCAGAACACGTTTCCTGGCTTCTGCATTTTTGCTACAACCTGCTTACATAAAATTAAGGGCTTGGATCATAATGCAAGCGCTGCAGATCAGGGAGGACGGATCCCACCAAGAGGCCTCCCGAATTCCCTGCTTGAAAGACAGACTGGGCAGGAAGTCTACTAGCGAAAAGGGGCTCAGAGGTAATAGGATAAGAGAATACAGCAGTGGTGGCGAACCTATGGCATGGGTGCCAGAGGCGGCACTCGGAGCCCTGTCTGTGGGCACACATGCACACCGTCGCCCCAGCCCCACCACTCCCTGTGGCCCCCTCCTCACCAGGGAATTTTCATACCTGATAAAATGTGAATTTATCCCGTTTCAGTGTAAATAAAAATTTTAAAAAATGAAAGATGGGCTAAAATTCCTTTGCATATTTGTTCTAAGATAAATATAATTAAGATGAACTTTGCTTCAAGGTTATTTTCTACTTTGACAGGTCTTTCTCGGCTTATTACATTATTTTCAACAGCTTTATACGATATTGGATACATTTTGGAGGACTTTCCCCCGAATTTACAGAGATGCCATCTTTAATCTTTTACTGCTTTTAATGCTTAGTGTGGGGATAGAGGGAGATTGTGTGTGTTGTTGGTGATGGTTAGTTTCAATCTGGTTTTAGATGACACCGTAATTGTTATAAATTCTATATTCTACATAAGCCGCTAAGAGTCATTCTGGTTGTGTGAGACAGAATTGACTTTAATAAATCATTCAATATTTTTTAACAAGGGTATCCTGCAATCTTCCAGTACAAGAACTGTAATTATATGCTGGAAAATAATGGATTTCACATTCTACATTTTCAGGCTTGTTGCTAGCGTTTGTCAGAGTAGAGTAGAGTAGAGTAGAGTAGAGTAGAGTAGAGTAGAGTAGAGTAGAATAGAATAGAATAGAATAGAATAGAATAGAATAGAATAGAATAGAATAACAGAGTTGGAAGGGACCTTGGTGGTCTTCTAGTCCAACCCCCTGCTCAGGCAGGAAACCCTACACCATTTCAGACAAATGGTCGTCCAATCTCTTCTTAAAAACCTCCAGCATTGGAGCACCCACAACTTGGAGGCAAGTTGTTCCACTGATTAACTGTTCTAACTGTCAAGAAATTTCTCCTTAGTTCTAGGTTGTTTCTCTCCTTGATGACTTTCCATCCATTGCTTCTTGACCTGCCTTCAGGTGCTTTGGAGAGTAGCTTGACTCCCTCTTCTATGTGGCAGCCCCTCAAATATTGGAACACTGCTATCATGTCACCCCGCGTCCTTCTCTTTATTAGACTGGCTGTATCCAGTTCCTGCAACTATTTTTCATATGTTTTAGCCTCCAGTCCCCTAATCATCCTTGTTTCTCTTCTCTGACTCTTTCCAGAGACTCAACATTGTTTTTGTATTGTGGCAATCAAAACTGGATGTAATATTCTAAATGTGATCTTATCAGGGCATTATAAAATGTCATTAACACTTCACGTAATAGCAGTGTTCCAGTATATGACAGACTGCCACAAAGAAGAGGGGATCAACCCATTCTCCAAAGCGCCTGAAGGCAGGACATGAAGCAATGGATGAAAACTCATCAAGGAGAGAAGCAACCTAGAACTAAGGAGAAACTTCTTGACAGTTAGACCAATTAACCAGTGGAACTATTTGCCTCCAGAAGCTGTGAATGCTCCTACACTAGACGTTTTTAAGAAGAAATTGGACAACCATTTGTCTGAAATGGTATAGGATCTCCTGCTTGAGCAGGGGGTTGGACTAGAAGACCTCAAATGTCCCTTCCAATTCTGTTATTCTGTGAAAAAAAAAACTTTGGCAAACCTAGCCCTATTCTTTCTTTATTTAACAGCCAATTTAATGACCCCACTTACCAACCACCTCATTTAGCAACTGTTCAAAGTTACAAAAGCTTTGAAAATGTAACTTTACCACCAGTCCTCGCATTTACGACCATCAGAGCATCCGACAGTCATCTCATTACCACTGACACATTTCATGACCGGCTTTTGACAAGCAAAGTCAATGGAGACAGGGGCGGTGAAATCGCCAGCCACGCCCACTGTGATTACTTTAGTGAGTGCAGTGGAAATGAGGTCCTAAGGCCATGACAGTCACATGATGTCTCGCTTAGCGGCTGCATTGCTTGGCGTGGTCGTGTTCACTAAGCGAGGACTGTCAATGCTACACATTAAGCCCTATGTAGTAGGGGATGATTAAGGAGGAAAAAATTCCACAGGCTTAAGTAAGGAGTTCCAGCCCAAGAATTAGGGGTAAAATGCAGACTCTTGCAACCTGCAATGAACACTCCACCCAGCTCTGACTGAGTTCATCAAGGTGGAATTTCTTTGAAACTTCTGAATTGCTACTTTTCTGGGTGTTGTGCAATTCGGATTGAGCTGATGTTCATTAAATAAGGAACTAGTAACCACCACCGTCCCACTAGTAGTTTACATCTAGAGCAGGGGTAGGCAACCTTGGCTCTTTTATGACTCGTGGACTTCAGCTCCCAGAATTCCTGAGCCAGCCTGGCTCAGCTTGGAAACCTCTCCCTTTCCCCTCAGCATGGCTGGCTCAGGAATTCTGGGAGTTGAAGTCCACGAGTCACAAAAGAGCCAAGGTTGCTTACCCCTGGCCTAGTTTGAGAGAGCCAGTTTGGTCTAGTCCAGGGGTAGGCAACCTTGGCTTTTTTATGACTCGTGGACTTCAACTCCCAGAATTCCTGAGCCAGCATGGCTCAGCTTGGAAACCTCTCCCTTTCCCCTCAGCATGGCTGGTTCAGGAATTCTGGGAGTTGAAGTCCACGAGTCATAAAAGAGCCAAGGTTGCCTACCCCTGCTCTAGAGCATCCTAAGGTGTTTTGCAACAAAAACGACAATGGCTACAGGTAGTCCTTACTTACGACTACAGTTGGGGGCCACAATTTCCACTGTTAAGCAAGACAGTTAAATGAATTGTCCCTGATTTTACGATCTTTTTTGTCAGAGTGGTTTAACAAATCACTGCAATTGTTAAGAGAATCAATCAGAATAGAGTTGGATGGGATCCTGGAGGTCTTCTAGTCCAACCCCCTGCTCAAGCAGGAAATCCTATACCCTTTCAGACAGATGGCTGTCCAATTTTTTCTTAAAAACCTCCAGTGTTGGAGCACCCACAACTTCTGGGGGGCAAGCAGTTCCACTGGTTAATTGTCCTCACTGTTAGGAAGTATCTCCTTAATTCCAGGTTGCTTCTCTCCTGGTACCTTTGGCAGAATAGGAAAACCTACAGTATCCAGTATTCCAAACAGTCTCCCATCCAAGTACTAACCAGGCCTGACCCTGCTTAGCTTCCAAGATCAGACAGGATCAGGCGTGTTCAGGGTAAAATGGCCATAGAATCACATGGTCATTAAGCAAATCTGACTTTCCCCATAGATTTTCCTTGTTGGTAGACAGCCAGGAAAACCACAAGTGGCGACCACATGACCCCGGGACTTTGCAACCGTTGCAAATATATCCTGGCTTGCCAAGCGCCTAAATTTTGATCATGTGACCACGGGGAATGCTGCAACGGTTGTAAGTGCGAGGACCAGGTATACACCACAAGAGACTAAAAACAGTGGCAAACAACAATATCGGCAAGCCTGATCAGTCACTTTATCGGCCAAGAGTAAAACAGGCACCCGAGATGGACGATTCTGGTTATCACAGAAAGAGAAACAAAGGTAGCTGTTTCAACTGTAATTATTCTTCTTTTGCTGAATTTATGCTTCTGGTGCCAAGATAACTCCGAGGATTTTGTAATTAATCTGCATCTTGACTTGGGGGGGGGGGGAATCTACAGTATTTGCATTCAGTCCTCGGCTGCAAATGTCTACATTTGCTCGCTCAGCCCTACATTTTAATTCGTCAATATTTACTTAGAAAGAGTTTGAACCGGTATTTGCCATAAAGCTAAGGCCGCTGTTACTCTGAGACATACACCTGACACACCCTTCGTGGTTTTAAAGCTTATTTGCTCATCCTGAAGCAAACATGCTAGTTTGGTAGCTTCCTGGACTGGTCTGTATTTTCCCCACTGTGAGAAATCATTCATTTGCACAATTATTTAAAATTGCAGAGTTAAAAAAATATGGATGTGGAAATGGGAGTATTATTCCAGTAAAAATCATTTATCTAATGCAAGTTGGCAATTTTAAAACTTTTGGACTTTAACTCCCAGAATAGCTGGCTGGGGGAATTCTGGGAGTTGAAGTCCACAAGTCTTAAAAGTTGTCATGTTTGGGGATCCCTAATCTAATGAATCTTCTTAGCTTTGTCTAGAAAAAAAAAAAGCAGCACTAAAGCTATATGTTGGGATGGGGCCTTATCCTAAGAGGTGCAAAAAATAAAGGAAAACCGGATGTAAAATAATGGGTAAATAATTCTTCAGTCTTTATGCCGAGCAATTCAAATTCTACATAATCTGTAAACCGAAATGTTTGGTGCTTTTTTTCCAAAGTGAGATTACCCGTTTGTATTTGCAATGCAAATCTGCATTCAAAATGTGAATATTTTCTCCCCGAATTCAAGGAGAAAATTCTAAGCAGTGTTACAGTCAATCAAAAACCATTTTCCGATGAACCGCTATCTGAATCAAAATAAAGAACATTTTGTTCCATGTGGCAATCAGCTTACCAAGATCGGATACTTGTTTTCGTATGTACTAAAGCTTAAATTGGACTGTCTGTGTCTTTTCCACTGAATTTCATTCTAAACCAGGGGTCTTCAAACTTGGCCCTTTTATGACTTGTGGACTTCGACTCCCAGAATTCCTCAGCCAGGCACATGTGCCTGGCTGAGGAATTCTGGGAGTCGAAGTCCACAGTCATAAAAGGGCCAAGTTTGAAGACCCCTGGCATATTTCAGAAGTAAGACACTTGCAGAATTGTCAATCCTAATATATGTGGAAGAGTCCATTGTGGAAAGGCCACTACAATTAAACAGGTCTGTGCACAAACATACAGGTAATCCTTGACTTACAACAGTTCATTTAGTGACCTTTCAAAATTACTACGACACTGAAAAAAGTGACTTCTGACCGTTTTTCACACTTATGACCATTGCGGCATCCTCCATGGTCATGTGATCCAAATTCAGACGCTTGGGGCAACTGGTTCATATTTATGATGGTCGCAGTGTCCCGGGATCACGTGATCCCCTTTTGCGACCTTCTGACAACAAAGTCAATGGGGAAGCCGGATTCACTTAACAACTGTGTTACTAAGTTAACAACTTCAGTGACTCACTTAACAACTGTGGCAGGAAAGATCATAAAGTGGACAAAATTCACTTAACAACTGTTTTGCTACCGGGGACTACCTGCATTCAGGTTTGCTTTTTCTTGATCAGTTTAGCCTAATAAAATAAATATAAAAAAAAATTTTGTCTTACCCAAATAGAAGTCATGGTTATCTGTTTTCACAAAAATGCTGCAAAAAACAAGCAAACAATAAGTTGGGTTATTAATCAAGGATGAATTCAATGTTATGCAATGCAGGTAACAAAACGACACCACCCTCAGCAAATGGCTCTTTATCCTCTGCCTGAACACATCCTTTAAAAAGTTGCTTGCTACCTCTCAAGGTCATTGATTCAGTATGTTCCTATTATTATTATGTTCCCCCCAGATTCACTTGAAGCCTGCCTTGACATGACATTAGCTAATGACACGAGTTCTGATTCTGTAATAAAATGTTTTACTATAGTAAAAGAGGCAGGTTTTATTTGGCTGTTCGCTGTCGCCTCTAGGTCTAGCATCCTTTCCTTCCCAAATTTATTTATTTTATTGCTTCTTATTTGACGTTCAGCTGCAAAACAAGGTTAAAGAATGCCGTTCTTCATTTGCTCTGGAACAGCAGACGCTGGGAAACAGCTGGAGCAGCCTCCACTACTGTGGAAAAAAGCTACGGCAATTTTTTTTTCTCTGCAAATTCCCCTTTTGCCATTTCTGTTATACAGCAAACTCAATTCATAAGTTTACCCTTGACATACTGAGTCTACTCTGTTCTACCTTGGCAGATAATAAGCCTTGGGAACTGAATTCCCCAGCTCCCACCTAAAGGAAATTTCTACTCAGAAAAAAACTAGGCTTTGGGGAGCTGTTTGAAGTCATCCAGGAAAGCAGGATGACTCTGTCTGGTGGGAACAAGCAGACAGAGTCCAGCTCAGGGTCTGTATCCATCTTACTAATTTTTTGGTTTTTAATAACCAGGAATACAAGTGGGAGCAAAACAATTTCGCCGAATGATGATTCTGCCTGTTTTGGGTCATGTATCAAAATACAATAATGAAGCAGGAAGACTGGCAATGAAATTTCCCTTTCCTTCCTTTTTCTTCCTTCTCCAAGATAAGAAGGCAGAAATTGGAGACAATTTTCTATCTTCATGGATTTCTTAATAAAAGTCCTTCTCAGGTTTAATATTAGAAGAAAGAAGAAGAAAGAAGAAAGAAGAAGGAAGAAGAAAGAAGAAAGAAGAGGCAAGAGGAGGAGGAGAAGGAGGAGGAGAAGGAGGAGAAGGAGGAGGAGAAGGAGAAGGAGGAGGAGAATAAGAATAAGAATAAGAAGAATAAGAATAAGAATAAGAAAAATAAGAAGGAGGAGGAGGAGGAGAAGAAGAAGAAGGAGAAGAAGGGGAAGGAGGAAGGAGGAAGGAGGAAGGAGGAAAAGAAGAAGAAGAAGAAGAAGAAGAAGAAGAAGAAGAAGAAGAAGAAGAAGAAGAAGAAGAAGAAGAAGAAGAAGAAGAAGAAGAAGAAGAAGAAGAAGAAGAAGAAGAAGAAGAAGAAGAAGAAGAAGAAGAAGAAGAAGAAGAAGAAGAAGAAGAAGAAGAAGAAGAAGAAGAAGAAGAAGAAGAAGAAGAAAGACAGGTTTAAGGAGCATATGCAATGCAGGCAGAGAAGAGTTCCTCCCAGGACTTACTCCAAGGTTGGACTGAGCATCCTTCAACCAGTTCTTTCTGTTCTCGAATTCAAGAATTGGAGAACCCATAAAATCCTCTGTTGGCTCAGATTAGCTCTCTCTCCTGGGGAATTGAGGGGGGGGGAGTTGTGGATTCTAAAATTTATTTATTGATTTTATATCCTGCCTTTATTTTTATAAATATCTCAAGGTGGGGGTAGGGGTGAACATACCTAATACTCCTACTTCTATTTTCCCGGAAAAAACAACCCTGTGAGGGTGGGCTGGACTAAGAGAGGAACTGACTCAAGGTCACCCAGTTGGCTTTCATGCCTAAGCGGGATTAGAACTCATTGTCTCATGGGGATTGGTCCAAAGTCACCCAGCCGGCTTTCATGCCTAAGGCAGGACTGAAACTCTCTATCTTCTGGTTATTGGCCCAAGTTCATCCAATTGGCTTTCATGCCAAGGCGAGACTAGAACTCACTGTCACCTGGTTTCTAGTCTGGTCTCTTAATCACTAGACAAGGGCTAGGCCGCCTTGGCTCTTTGATGACTCGTGGACTTCAACTCCCAGAATTCCTGAGCCAGCATGGCTCAGCTTGGAAACCTCTCCCTTTCCCCTCAGCATGGCTGGCTCAGGAATTCTGGGAGTTGAAGTCCACGAGTCATAAAAGAGCCAAGGTTGCCTATCCCTGCACTAGATCAAACTGGCCTATATGTTGCTGAACTATACTTCCCATCTCCCTGCACTAGGAATGATAGTTTATCAATATCTAGAGACCAGAGATTTCCCACTCCTGTCCTGTAGAAGGCTGTGTCTCCTTTGGTTTCATCCAGATGCTTTGCAACCCTGTCACCCCAGCATGGGATTTTACTTTTTTTAAATAATAGTTATTATTATTATTATGGATCATCGCAGTCAGCCAGATGTTCAGACTGGATTTGGCATTTTGTCTACCTATCGAGTCCTTACCCAGGACCTGGGATAGGCAGATGTGGATGTTTGATGGTATTACAGATATCGTCGCAGGATGGAAGCAGTTCCTAGTAAGGCCACCTTTTGCAATTGACTAATAGCGAATTTGTCAATGCCAATGGTGTTCAAGTGGTGCTCCAGTTGTTTTGGGATTGCACCCAAGGCGCCTATTACTATTGGTACTACCCTTGCTTGCCTTTGCCACAGTCTTTCTATTTCTATTTGTAGGTCTTTGTATTTTGTTATCTTCTCCAGTTCTTTCTCGTCTATTCTGCTGTCTCCAGGCACTGCCACGTCCACTATCCAGACTTTTTTGTCATTATATTATTATTATTATTATTATTATTATTATTATTATTATTATTATTATTATTATTATTATTATTATTATTATTATTATTATTATTATTATTATTATTATTATTATTATTATATCAAAACTATGTTTAGAAGTTAGCTGGAACAAAGTACTGCTGCGCCAGCTGAAACTTGGATGATAATGAAAAGCTGCATCAGGTGAGTCTCGACAGAGGAGACTCAGCGAGGGGACCTCCCAGATTAGGAATTTGAAAAGTAAATAACAGAAGAAAGCAAAAACAAACCACGTTCATGGTTGCCAAAGAAAACTTAATGTGCAAGGCAAATGCAGAAAACTTTGGTTAGTAAATTTGATCATGGGAAAAATGAGCAGGGAAGGAAAGCTACCGGATTTGCAAGAGGAACAGATCACTCCTGGTTTTGTTTGTGTTTCAAAGAAACCTTTTAAACCGAAACATCAATTGCTTGATGGGAAGAAAATGGCAGGGAAAAAAAAAAGGGGTGGGGGGTGCGCGGAGGTTCTTGGAGTCATTTTGCTCAGCCCCCCCACCCCACCTGTGTGCTAAAAATGGGGAACTACATGCTATTCTCCCAAAATTCCTAATTGCCCATCCCAACCAGGACTGGTGCAATCTACAAACATTCTAGCTAAGCAGGATGAGATCCAGTCACAGCTTGAAAGGGAGACCACCAGGAAATCACATCCCAGAAGAAACCGGGCCAAATCATTAGTAGACTGTTGCAGAAAGAAAAAAAAAGAAAAAAGCCTCTCCTAGACTTTTCAGATAGAGTCAAAGGAGAGAGAGAGAGAGACAGAGAGAGAGAGAGAGAGAGAGAGACAGAGAAAGACACACACAGAGAGAGAGAGAGAGAGAGACAGAGACAGAGACAGAGACAGATAGAGAGAAAGACACAGAGAGAGAGAGAGAGAGAGAGAGAGAGAAGAGAGACAGAGAGAGACAGAGAGAGACAGAGACAGATAGAGAGAAAGACACACAAAGAGAGAGAGAGAGAGAGAAGAGAGAGAGAGAGACAGAGAGAGAGAGAGAGAGAGAGACAGAGACAGAGAGACAGATAGAGAGAAAGACACACAAAGAGAGAGAGAGAGAGAGAGAAAGACAGAGACAGAAAGACACAGAGAAAACAGAGAGAGAAAGACAGGGAAACACACACACACACACAAAGAGAGAGAGAAGGAGAAGGAGAAGGAGAAGGAGAGGGAGAAGGAGAGGGAGAAGGAGAAGGAGAGAGAAGGAGAGAAAGTGAGGAAGTGAAATCCACGTGCTGAGTTGGCAGCTGTCCAGGGCCAGTTGGAGACCGGCCAGTGCCTTCTAGTTAATTAAGAGAAAGAAAAAGGGAAGGAAGGAAAGGAAGGAAGGAAAGAGAGAGAGAGAAAGAAACAGAAAAAGAAGAAAGACAGAGGGGGAAAAAAAGAAAAGAGACAAAGAAAAGAAAGAATTTCGGCGCGTTTCCTTCCTCTTCGTAAGCTATCCAGGCTAGCTATCCAGGAAAGTTGCTCTCCGCGGGGCAGCGCGCAACAGGGACCCGGCGCGCGTGAGAAGCGCTGCGAAGCAGACGGGGCGATGCCCGGCGAGGCGCCTTTCGAGTTTGTCCTCTCCCCCCCCCCCCACACAACCCGCGTCCCCACCTTGGCCAGATCCCCCAACCCCACCCCGGGGACCAGGTCTGGCTGCCCCCTCGGATCTCCCACGACTGGGGAGGCGAGGTGGAAGCTGCAAGGCGCCGAGGCCACCCGGAGACGCAGCCCTGATCCCAGGCTGGGCGCGGCTGGGGTGCCAAAGGGCGAGTCAAGTGAGCTGTGGGGCTGGGAGGGCAGGAGGAAGAAGGGATGGGGAAGCCTGCAAGAAGGGCTGGGCGCCCCCCCCGTCCGGCTCCCCGGCTCCTGCAGGCGGTCCCCCCCTATCCAGGTCTCGGGGCCAGGGAAGAGATCGAGCGGGGAGAGACTTACCCGAAGCAACAGCCCGAACTGTGAACTTGCGAAGGAGAAGAGTAGCTACGTCGGCGCGGCTCTTGGGAGAAGTAGTGCTGCTGCGCCCCCGCCCTCCGCTGGCTCCACCTGCCCAGAGGTGCGGAGGAGGAGGAGGAAGAGGAAAGGGGACCCGGACCTGTAGGACGTCACCTCTACCAATAGGGGGCGCCCTTCTGGCTTTTCTCTCCCGAGTCCGCTGGAAGGAGAGTTGTGGAGGACCACCGACCAGGTTGCATCCTCTTTAGAAGCAAGATTGGGGGGTTTTAACAGCATAACCAGACTTGGAAGGGACCTTCGAGGCCATCTAGTCCAACCCCCTGCTCAAGCAGGAAACCCTATACCATTTCAGACAAATGGTTGCCCAATCTCTTCTTAAAACCCTTCAGTGTTGGAGCACCCACAGCTTCTGGAGGCAAGTCAGTTCCGGGGGTGGGGGGGGTGTCTTTGTGAGAAAGGAAAAGGAAAGGGTGTCTTTTGTTCCAGGCATGGTGGTTTGAAAGAGCTTGGAAGCTAGGTAGGGCTGGGGTTGTTAATGTTTGGATGGGAGACCACAAGGAAGTCCGTGAGTTACAGGCTAATCTGTATACTACAAATTGTGGGATTGATATGCATCAGTTTTCTCTTTTCTTTCAAATATCTTGAGATCCTAATTCTTCCAGGAAATGCTTTGAGTTCTGTAAAACTCAAGTGCCTGGGAAAACTAGCAAAATAATTTTTGGCCTTGTAGTTCTTTTACTGTTTTTTTTTTAACTTTAGAAAATAAAGTTGCATTTGAGTAACTGAAAACAACTATTTGGCGTTTGACAAACCATTCATGTTAACTGTTGCTGCTTCACAGAGTGACACTAGGACAGTGTGAATGCAAATAGGTGCAGAAATCCTTGTCCAGTGTGGTTTTGAGCAAGCAACTGTCTGAGAGAGAGTTACATAGTCAGGAAATCATGTAGACCAGTGGTTCCCAACCCCTCGTCCGTGGACTGGTACTGGGCCGTGGCATGCCAGCAACCGGTTCGCACAAACAAAAACCACTCCGTGGGATGCAGGCAGCACACAAAACCATGCACCCTCCTGTCCGTGGAAAAACCTTTCTCCACGGAACCGGTCCCTGGTGCCCACAAGGTTGGGAACCTCTGATGTAAACATATAGTTTGCACCCTAGAAAAGCTATGTTGATTTGTGGGTCATCAGATCAAACTGAGAACCAACAATGTAACACTAAAGGGGTTTCAGAAAGTCCAGCCTAAGTTGTCCTTGCATTGCAGACTCATCATGCCACCCCTTTGAAGAGGACAGTGGCCCACAGGCAACTACGGTATATGAGATGGATCAAATAAATGAAGAGATAGAGTCTACCTCACATCAGTGTTAGATCTTGACTACTGTAATGAGCTCTACATGGGGCTGCCCTTGCAAAGTATCCAAGAGCTTCAGTGGGTTCAAATGCAACGGCCCACATGGTTTTGCACTAGTCTATAGATTTGCACACATGTCCCTTCTCTTGTGCTACCTGCATTGGTTGCCAATTTACTTCCAGGTCCAATTCATGGTGTCATCTTTATTTGAAGGACCATTTTTTTCTTAACCTGCCAGATTCAGGAGGCAAGGTATGTTACAGGTCACCCCCCATTAAGGAAGTCTATCTAGTAGGATCTAGAAGGGCCTTCTCTGTGGTGGCTTTCACCCTACAGAACATCATCCCTGCAAAGGTAAGACTGGGCTCCACCTTGATACTCTTCTGAGGTCCAAGCTTCCTCCTTCTGTTATATATTCAAGATGGACAGTATTTAATATTTATTTGTTATGTTAGGGGTGTGGGTTATACATATGTTGTACATAGTATGTTTAGGTGTGTGTCATGTATGTTTCACTTTGAGAGCAGGCAACTAAATTTCATTTTTGATGTGTGCCATTGTGCCCACAGTAAAAAAATGACAATAAAGGTTATCTTATCTTAAGACCTGTTTTTGCCAGCAGACCTGGAGATCTGAGGTTGATACGCAGCCCATCAAATGGCTTCTTTGAATATTGTCACCAGGGAAGATATGGTGTATTGGGTTTTATGTTTGGGGTTTACTTCCTGTAAGCTGTTCAGAGTCCCTGTGAGTTGGCCTATAAATGTCCTAAGTAAGTTACCTTGTTTACATGTTCTACATCAAATATTAAGTGTAGAGTCTTATCATGATTGTCTTTCATGTAATCCCAAAAGACAGGAGACAGTCTCATACCAACTTAGATTCCTTTCTCTTATCATAGTCAATGGGCAGGCAAGCTATCCCACATTTCCCTCTCCATCTGGATAAACCATGTTCAAGGTAACTTGAGTCACGGCTTGGGATTGTGTAGAAAGGGAATCCCAAAAGGCAACTGGATTTTGTTTTTTTCCCCAAGAAGCTTCTTCACTTCTTGGATGAGAAGTGAAACATCTCCAAGGGAAAAAACAAAGTCCAAGTTGCCTTTTGAAAAAGCACCTTTGGGACAACCATAACCTGGATGACTGAGAATCTCTGTGGATACGTAGGAAGGAAAGTGATCAGAAGGTGACAAACCCAGTTGGGCTACCATAACTTTTCTCACAATGGGGACACCATGCCACTACACCTAGGACAGGGGTAGGCAACCGTGGCTCTTTTATGACTCGTGGACTTCAACTCCCAGAATTCCTGAGCCAGCCGTGCTGAGGGGAAAGGGAGAGGTTTCCATGCTGAGCCATGCTGGCTCAGGAATTCTGGGAGTTGAAGTCCACCCATCTCCGAGTGGCCAAGGTTGAGAAATACAGGCCTAGGCCAGGGGTAGGCAACCTTGGCTCTTTTATGACTGGTGGACTTCAACTCCCAGAATTCCTGAGCCAGCATGGCTCAGCATGGCAACCTCTCCCTTTCCCCTCAGCGTGGCTGGCTCAGGAATTCTGGGAGTTGAAGTCCACCAGTCATAAAAGAGCCAAGGTTGCCTACCCCTGACCTAGGATCTTCCTAATATCTCCTGCCCTATTAGCAAAACCAGCTCCTAACCCAGCCCACCATTCCCACCGTCCCCGTTAACAGCATTCAAGATTGTTATTCTCTTCTACATCACGTGAAAGGAGACCATGGTTCAACATTCGAACTGCTTTTTGGGGAAAAAAAAGAAAAAAATCCCGCAGACGATTCAGATTGAAGGCAGCTTCTGGTAAAAAGTAACCAAAGGTAGTTTATTAGCAAAGACAAGAACAGAAAAGGCATCATGGAAATAACAAGTAAACCGATGCTCTGAAATACAGAACATTTTGAGGTTTGAGGAAAGAGGGTTGACAGCACCAGATGAAGTCACTTTGAGGGCATCCGAAGACCTTTCTGGAAGGACGGTGTGCCATGAAAAACAAGAGGACAATTAAGTCTATCCAGAGAAGGCGGATCTGCCCGCCTGCCAGGTCAGCAGTAACATTTATAATAGAAACAGACGTCTCCAGGCAAGCACAGGAGACAGCAGCCCGTGTCGTGCTGTTACAACACTGCCCTATTTATTTTTACAAATACCTACATATGTGACACTAATGTTGTACCTTTCAGGGTAGGGTCAACATTTCCCAATGACCAGGCCAAACCTCATTTATGGAGCATGCTGGCCTTTTGGGGAGAATATTTTGGCACAAATAATGGTCCAGAATGACAGCAATGCCTGTGTACATTGTATTTTCATCCTGTCATATTTACCACGGAGACTGCAGTGCCATCTCCTAACCTCAGAAAACTTCCGCGGAGGGAATGTGACTTATTCAGGATCATCCATGAGTCTGACGGAGAAGCAAGGTCTCCTCAAAGCTGGTCCCACCAGTGTTTGGATTGTCTAGAGCCAAATCTAGGCATTTAATGTGGGCACCAGGGCTTTGATATCCACCCACTGAACTCTGCCATCTGAAGGGGGTTATTCTCATCTATCTCGAGGGCGTCTTGATTCCCTGAGCTGAACAACAGCACTCTACAAACACAAACCAGTGTACATTTTCATATTTTGTAGGAAACACTGGTTTGGGATTCATTATCCCAGATTTTCCTTTCTCTGCCACAGAAAGCTTGGGGCTTTCTGTGAAGATTCCCACAAGTTCAATTGTTTTCCAATTCATTTTTGTGGAAGGCCCAACACCACAGCTAATTAATTCTCACCTGCAACCACACCGCAGCTACATCCCTGTGTGTGCTCTCTTTCAACAAAGTCTGTGAAAATGAAGAAGGATGCTTATTCAAGTTAAGCTGGGTCTGACCAACAAAAACCTCTGAACTGGAGGAACATCCTACATAAAGAAGTGGGCAACCTTGGCTCTTTTGTGACTCGTGGACTTCAACTCCCAGAATTCCTGAGCCAGCCATGCTGAGGAGAAATGGAGAGGTTTCCAAGCTGAGCCATGCTGGCTCAGGAATTCTGGGAGTTGAAGTCCACGAGTCATAAAAGAGCCAAGGTTGCCTACCCCTGTCCTACATAAAGAGGTGGGCAACTGATTTTTCCAAGAGGCCACGTGGGAAACTGGAACTCTTCTTCACAAACCAATAGGATCGTGAAGGTGCATAGGCAGACATGCATGCACGCACATATGTAGATTGGGGGAAATAAATAGCAGTTGCTTTCAAAACGAAAACAATCCGCGTGAACCAGACAGGGACAGGGACAGCCATAGGTCCAGATGTGGCCTGGGAGCCATAAAATGCCCAGGTCTATTCTACTACCGTGTTTCCACGAAATATAAGACCTAACCAGAAAATAAGCCCTGGCATGATTTTTCAGGACGCTCCTAATATAAGCCCCATTCCAAAAATAAGCCCCAGTTAAGATCGTCAGCCAGATGGATGCGTTTAGTACCATATTTCCCTGAAAATAAGACCTACCCGGAAAATAAGCCCTGATGCATCTTTTGGAGCAAAATTTAATATAAGGCCCGGTCTTATTTTGGGGAAAACAGGAGTAGTAGAAACTCTAGTTGTCTGTTTTAGCACTCAGTGACTGTAGGGAAGAAATTCCTGCTTCTACTTAATTACCAGCACTTTTTTGTGGCCGTGCAGG